TGAAAGAAGAGACATTACTACTGAACTTACAGGAATAAAAAGGATTATAAAATAATATTATGAACAATTTTATGGTAACAAATTAGACGACCTAGATGAAATGGGAAAATCCCTAGAAACACACAAACTATCAAAGCCTATTCAAGAGAAGTATGCCTTTCTATGACAAGAGATTGAATCAGTAAACAAATAACTTCTGTTATGGACTGAACATTTGTGTCTCCCACAAAATTAATATTGAAGCCCTAACCTCCAACATGATGATATTTGGATGTGGAGTCTCTGGGAGATAATTAGGTTTAGATGAAGTCATGATGGCAGGGTGCCCATGATGGGACTAGTAAGAAGAAGAAACCAGAGAGTGCACCCTGTCTCTCCCTCTCTCTCTCTCAGTCTCTCTTCTCTGCCATGTGAGGATACAGCAAGAACAGACACCATATCTGCTGGCCCCTTGATCTTGGACTCTCCAGCTTCCAGAACTGTGAGAAATAAATGTTTTTTGTTTAAGCCACCCAGTTTATGGTATTTTGTTATAGCACCTCGAATTGACTGAGACAACTTCTAACAAAGAAAAGTTAAGAATCAGATGGCTTCACCAGTGAATTCTACCAAACATTTAAAGAAAAATTAACAATACTTCTCAAATTTTCCCCTCAAAAAGAAAAGGAGGGAACACTTCCTAACTCATTCTATGAGGCCAATATTACCCTCATATCAAAGCCAGTTATATACATCACAGAAGAGAAAAACTACAGACCAATATTGTTTATGAATATAGATGCAAAAATCCTCAACAAAATACTAGCAAATTGAATCAAGCAGCTTATTAAAAGAATTACTGTATGCACCATGACTAAATGGAATGTATCCCAGAAATGCAATGCTGGTTCAATACTGGAAAATCCATTAATGGAATACATTATATTAACAGAATGAAGGAAAAAGGGCATGTGTGAAAATACCTATAACTAGGGCTTCCCTGGTGGCGCAATGGTTGAGAGTCCGCCTGCGATGCAGGGGACACGGGTTCGTGCCCCGGTCCAGGAGGATCCCACATGCTGCGGAGCGGCTGGGCCCGTGAGCCATGGCCGCTGGGCCTGCACGTCCGGAGCCTGTGCTCCGCAGCGGGAGAGGCCACAACAGTGAGAGGCCCGCCTT